TTTCCATTTTCTTCTCCAGAATGTATTATTTTCTAATGATAAGGTAATTTAAGTATTGTATATACAACGAGGCAAATTACAAAAAAAGAAGAACTGGGAAGGCAATTTGAACATGTTCGTCTTCCACGGTTAGGTTACTCATGGTAATGTCCTATTCCATATTTTTGCAAATCAATTTCCTTGATCAATTCGATGATTTACTCACAAATTTGTATACTTCAACCTAACATTAAGCAATGTCTTTTATGTCATAAAACTACAAATAAGGACACCTGATTGGTTTAGATTATATTTTTATTTTTTGACTAATACCAAATTCTATGTCCACAAAATACATTTTAGTGTTTTTATATAAACTCTGTGTCAGTATATTATGTGCAAGGCTGCGGCATGTAGTTGTGGAAATAAAGCAGTGATAAGCTTAACCAAAGACACTGTGCTTATTTTATCTAATTATGTAAAGAGATTCACAAAATACTGATAGCTTGTACAAAAAACATTACAATTTGTACACAACATATATAAAAATTCATTTAACCGAAAACTTTATTTATTTCATGATATTGTTTTAATCCGGCCAGAAATTACTTCCTTTATTCATCTTGTTTTATTTTTATTTCATTAGTTATATACATTGTAAGTGTTGATGATTGAGTATGTTTATTGTGAAATTTTAGTTTCAATGCTATATTAAGTACATTTTGATATCAAATTGCTGTTCAATTTTCTGGCCAAGGGAAATACCTGTTGTTAAAAATAGATTCTAATTTGATGAAATACAATAGATAGTTACAGAAATAGGTTTATAGGTTGGTTTAGACTTGGTGGAGTATGGTTCAGACTGGTCGAGAATGGTTAAGACTACGTCAAGTATGGTCCAGATACTTACAAAATGGTTAAATACTGGTCGAGTAAAGGTAGAGTATAAGTTCAGATTGTTAAGTATGGTTCAGACTACAGTCGATTAATATCAAGTAAATTTGAGACAAATTCAGACTGGTGGAGCAAAAATCAATACAGTCGAGTACAGATATAGGCCATTTCAGACTTTTACTTGTTTGTACTGTGTGCATTAACTGAAATTCGAAATTTACTGTGGTCTCTATGACAATTTATTATCATGATTATAGCTACACTGAATTAGTAATGTATTAAATATGTTTATTCCTGTTCACGATGCAAAATTATTATGAGCAGGAGATCAAGATGATTACACAACATGAGGCAACGTTACTGCATACATGTATAATTTGAAGACCACGTGTACTTTCGATCCTTGATCATAGAAATTAACATTTAATAATTAAAAAAATGAAGTAGTGCATATAATGTGTGAAAACAAAAACATTCTTACCTCAGCAACTAAGACTTCTTTTACAATTAAGTCGTGTTTTCACAATTAGCTATTGTCGGCAAAAATAAATTGATGAAGAGTCATGTTACCAAAGGTCATCATCAATTTCGTGGTTCAGTGAATCGTTAATAAAATCATATACAATAAAGGTGAAGAAACGTACCGTATTCCGGTAAATATTTTATTATGTTGAACTGTTCTAATGTATTAATATACCAAACTTTATAGATATACTTTTTTGAATATTTTCCCTAGATATCCAATAACTAAATTACAGAGATACTTAATTGAAGCTGTAGATTGAGTAAATTGTTAACAGTAAAGGTGCAATTAAATTGATTAATTTGTGTAAAAAAAAAGATATATTATGATAAACATGATGCAATCAATAGTTTTTTTCCCATATTTTGTCGTATGTTGAGAGACAATGCGTAAACGACCTTTTAGGGACAGTATTGTGTATCAACATACTTGTATAAAACTAACTTTTACTCAAATTGATAATGAAATAGAAATAAAGAGTAATTTTTCCAAAATCATAACGTTTTGCCATTAGTAAATGATAAACAATTTGCTCTCTCCCAACATGTAAAATCTGGAATCAAGTATAAATGTATGTGTTTTCCCATGTAGACATGATACCGATACATTAAGGTTACAAAATTGTGCGAATTTTTAAAGCATTTTATCTTCCTTGTCTTGTAAACATTTCTCATTTTAAGGAAAATGAGAAATGTTTACAAGACAAGGAAGATAAAATCTGCTCCCGGCAGAGCTACAGTAAATGCAAACTAGTTTTCAATTTTCCTTGCGTAACCCCAAGTATTTTTTGTTGCACACAAAGGCTTAGTGAAATGACATAATTTATAAGGGTGTCAGTACATCAAATTTGTGCAATTGGCAAAATCAGAAAATTTTGCGTTTTTAGAAAAAAAAAGGAGAAATAAATGTGTATCTAAAATATAATTGCTATTTCAAAGTTTCGGAACTGAAATAAGGTCATACGTAGGTCAAATGCAAAACATTTCCCACGTATCTATAACTTTTCTACATGATAATGATAGCCATGCAAGCTTATTGTGTGTCGGACATACTGGTTAGTTGCCTATCGGTCGTGTTGGCTAGTTGTTTGTCGGTCATGCTGTCTTGTTGCCTGTCACAACGATGATTACACCAAACAGTACAGTCCAATAATTATTAGGTTCAAATTTTGGTGCATATTTATTTTCAAAATAGAGGGTCGATTAATAAGTTGACGTCAGCGTAGTACAAGGACGATTGAAAACGAATTACGGAATGACTTAATACAGAAACACAGTTAAGATACATCCTTGTACTTGTGTTTCCATCCAGGCTGCAGTGTGAATAGGTTTACCTCATTTGAAACGATAACAAAATTCCAAGTTATTATCTTTAATCCAATGACAAACATGTAACAATATATTAAAAATAAAACATTTTAAAAAGATGAATATCACATGTGATGCATCAAATTAAACCCGGAAATATGTTATTAGTTAAAAAATCCTAAACTGTTGCCTTTATACAAACAAAACAGCGAAATAAATACAAATTACCAATATAACATGTACAATGTATGAATATGCAAAAGAACAATAGGATAAAGACACAAATATTATAGTTTTCATCATGTTTATTGAAAATATATCATGATACTAGTTTAAAAAAAATGTCATGCAAACATTAAAATCTAGCATATTAGTCTTAAGTATTAATACTCATAACACATTCTTTTTTATAGACAACTGGTTTTTGATTGATTGCTTATTTTAATGGAGTATAATTACTTATTTGATTTTTTGGTAAGTAATAATTGACCAATCTTTCTCACACGTCTGTCGTGTAAAGCTTTGGAAAACAGATAGATAATCTCTTCAAAATAACATGGAAATATACCACCCCCCCCTAACAACAAAAAACAAAAAACAAAAAACACGTGTTTATCTATACTATTGTAATTTGAGATACAAACATGGCAACAAGAGAGGACAGGATTGTAGTTTTGACAATTCAAACATATCCGTCGTCACCTGTTAGACAGATATTCTATAACAGGGCAACCAACTTGTGATAGCGTCTATAAAATATTCGAAGGAATGACTGTATCTTCACCACTTGGAACCTCTCTTAACACAATTGTAGAAGCGATTCTTTGAATGAAGTGTTCAAACATCACATCGACGAATACATGCACGAGACAATAGTCAATTAAACATACATCAACATTAATGATATTCATATAAATCCATTTTGAAGGCGTGTTTATCTTTCAGCTATCTTAAATTTAAATTATTTTTAAAGCACCGTTTAGGTAATTTGTAATTTGTAAAATGCTGACTGTCGAAAACTAACTAGTAAAATAATACATATGTAATATAAAGTCATCATTTTAAAAAATAGATCTTTAAAAAATCAACAAGAAAATGTAAAAATGAAAACAACGGCGGTAGGCAACAATATAGGCAATAGTAATATACCTCTGATCAATAGTCATAATTCGATTTAACAAAAATAAATCCGGGTAAAACAACTAAAACCGGGGGAAACACAATATCATCAAACGGTTGTCGAGTTTTCTGCTACAAATGACTGGAGAACAGTATCCGTGGTCGGATTTGGTGAGAGTGCTTGTCCTCGTAAGGCTGAATTAGTCTCTTCAACATTTGTCTAAAATATAAAACTAAGATATTATTTTCCTGTATGCACATACATTTTATTCAAATTTAAAGACAAAACGTTTAGGAGGAGTAATGATCTATCTTAAAATTATCTCATTAGTCTGATTTGAAAACTTCATTTTATGTTCCAAAGTGTGTTAAGCAATACCATTTGATCCGTCGGATGTGGTTATTATAAATGTATGCGACAGTAGTTTACAAATATTCAAATCTCGACAAGTGGTTTTTGTTGCAACCGCAAGCTACCTGCACTGGTATTTTCAGTCCTTATTTATTTTGCTATAATATAAGTTAATATATGAATATATTTCAATAACAATTCGATGTACTTACATGACCGTTTTTTGTTTGTTCCGAAGCACGGTATTTTTCATCTGGATTGCTACCTAAAATAAAGTGTGAAATTTTTATTCATATTTGTATACATCGTAACGTCTTATTCATTGTTTACCATTCTTTAATTCCAATTATATATATACATGTTTTGCCATTCTTTATACAAGCTTCATATCAGCACTTACAAAATTATATTCAAATTATTTGACACTCAAAGTATTTTTTTTAAATAAATCATGTCTGAGATTAGTTAAAATATTTTTGTGAACTATAATTAAATTTTCAATAGCAATTATTTTCTCTATATTGATATATGATACGTTTTATGTTAATATTTCTTCATTTTATGCATAATTTTATTATCTTTAGCAACAACATGGCTTGTTGTTAATATTCCACGTATAATATACGTGAATGTGAAGACGCTGAACCCTTTAAAATTTCTCTGAAAATTTCAAACAGACGCAGGTGTACCTCCACTTGATTTCATGACTTTTATTGCTACTCAACGTGAAATTGTGCAAATTTAAACTTACTGGTTTGAGAACCACCAACGAGAATGTGCATGTGCTGTCACAGAATATCTCTGGCATCGTTTATATCACTTTTTTTTAGTTTTGATCTAAGTCAGAATGGCATTTTGTAAGAAATATGTCCTTGCTTTGTTTTAAATATATATAACACATCTTAAAAAACATAACATATCATATATCTGGGTAGGTACCTCGGCTGTTAGTCCTCGAGGATATCACCAAACCAAGTAGCCAGTTTTGCAAAGACATACGGATATTATTTGAATGGACATTTGCTGTTACAAATACTTGGAAATCATTTTAAATTAGGGAATGCATCTCCCTCGTGCACTGCTCAGATTCCTTATCCGGGTTCGGCTATATTTTTGGTCCTGTTTGGTCTAGCAGTTCTTCAATGCATAAGATTCAGATTTTCAAATATTTCTATCTTCAGCTTCAGTGAAAAGATATTCTGTTTTGAAATGTGCATTTGTTGCAGGAAAATAGGTAACGTTAATGTTATTTGGTACACTCGCAATAAAAAAAAAACCACGTAAGGTATTTTGGCCAATAACGATTAATAGGAAACATAGTAAAATGCTATTATTTAACATTTGATATATTATGAATTTGTATACAGTGTCATTCAATATATAAAGCTTTATGTCATTCATTTGCTTGATTGATTGGTGTTTTTAGCACTCTTAGCTTCTTCGTGGCGGTCTATTTTTATTGGCGGAAATGGCCGGAGTGCCTTGAGGGAACAACCGACCATCTGCAGGAATCATACATTTGTAAAGTGTATTACCTGAAGACGGTACTTTAGTTTGCTGACTTGGTCTCACTGTTGATGTTATCTTGGCATTTAGTGATGGAACAAATTTTATATTGTCAGTCTCGTTTCTAAGTTTCAACTAATAAATAAAAGAATAGAATACTTTGAATAAAAGGAAATATCAGGTATGCGCCAATAGAAGCACAAACAAAAAAACTAAAATGTCAAAAAATTATTTAAAATACGTTTTATCTAAATATCAATGTTGCCTCTCAAGAACGCTTGAGGTCAATTTCTGAAAGGATCAAAATTCGGCATAATGCATTAATGGTATAAACACAGATACAGATTATAGGGATTTTTTTTATGATTCTAAATAAATAATATAATTTGCTACGACAAACACTTTTTATCGATTTAAAAACGGATGTTTGAATAGGACATCAACAAATATTGTATATTTCCAAAACAAAATTATAGTGTTTGTATATGGAAACATGTGATATCTTAATAACTGAAATTTTTCCAAAATAGAAATGCAAACACTTTTTATCTAACTATTTTCATGCATTCTTATAAACTGCAAATATAAAAACATTATCGTTCTATTAATAAATATATCCACAGAAATGTAAATGATAATTACCTTGGGAATAAAAAGTATGCATAAAACTAAAGCTGTACAGAACATAACAAAGCAATTCATCAGAACAAATCTTGCTGTCTTCTGTTCGTCATCAAGTATATGATTTAATGGAACTCCAATAAGGCAAACCACCACAATGTTATAAACACAGAATCCAATTAACTTGGAATCGTTTAAGGCAGGAACCTCTACTTTTCTTGTTTCCCACGCTAGGAATGTACCAAAGGCTAACAGAAGACCTTTGTAAACATACTGGACACATAACCAGTAGACCTGTGTAGAACTTGTACATACAGTATAAATTTCTTTGTGTGTTATGTCATTTTCTTCATCCTGTAAACATTAAAAACAAAAAGTATACAATCAACTCTGAAATGAGTTGTTACAAAAAAAGTTGATCAGGTTAAATATTGTATAGATCCCCTCTGAAGACTTCATCAATATTTGAATAACATATTAAAGTTAGTCATGTTTTTGTTATTTGGGGAATTTAATAGAATAGAGAAGCTTAAAGCCACCTTTGGGACTTGAACGCATTGAGAAAATCTTGCACCCGGAGGCGGGTTTCAGCTCGAACCTAAATAAAGGCGACAGTAGTATACCGGTGTTCAAAAGTCATAAATCGATTGAGAGGAAACAATTCCGGGTTACAAACTAAAACCGAGTGAAACACATCAACTATAAGAAGACAACAAAGGAACAACAGGAACACTGAAGTGTAACAAAAACAAACGCCAACATACATAGAAACGAACTATTAGATAACAACTGCCATATTCCTGACTTGGTACAGGACATTTTAAGAAAAAATGGTGGGTTGAACCTGGTTTAATGGCTAACCAAACCTCCCGCTTTATGACAATGTAAAAAAATATCACTACAATGACAACACTACGTGACAGAAATATAGCACACATACATAATATAATAGTCGACACAGCATGCAAACCGCAGAACAACAACGAACATATTCCATCCACGACAGACACCACAGGAAATCAAAAACAGTGACGCGCTTACGTAACTAACATGCAATCTCGAACTTTATACAATTATTTTCACATTATTCGTCCAAACAATTTTCATGACAATGATGTTATGGAAAGGCAATTTATAATTATTTGGACTACAAACAATAAGACATAATAAATTATCCAACCGAAAACATAACAGAAGCATCAAAAATAAATACATGAATGTTTGATGTACAAAATACCGAGACACGTCGTATAGCAATGCAAATTCACACTCGGTATAACAGGCATATACGGGAATATGACACATAATTAAACCACAATGCATACTTGTTCAGCTATATGGACGCTACACTAAACTCCGAATCATACAAGTGAACCAACATTAAAAATGCGGCGGGGTTAAACATGTTTTGTAAGATCTCAATCCTCCTCCTTTACCTCTAGCCAATGTGCAATTAGCAAACACATATACATACGCAGAGTAAAAATCTTTTTAAAAGAAGAACGAGTCCGAGATTAGAATTGGTAGCAGAAGAAACTAAGTCAAATGGCAATGATCAAGATAAATGAACAAAGGACTACTAACAGTTATTGACATGCCAGCTCCAGACCTCAATTACACTGATCATTAGATTATGTCTTTATCATACGAAAATCAACCACAATCCCTCCCGCTAAACAGATCTTTGATTGTCTAAAATAAATATGCTCACAACTATTGTTGACTTTTAGGTTTTACAGTTTGACATATTGCATGCACACTTGTCTATTGTTTAATAATGTGTGTTAATTTTTAGATGTCTTTTGTTATTTGTGGCGTTTTGTTGTTGTCCCATTATCGTATAATCTACAGCTCCTTTATTAATATTTGAAAGTATATGATACTGGAAATGCTGGGTAAACCTAAAATAAGACAGAAACTGGCAAACTAGTTCACAAAAAGATATTTAGATCCTTTAAGAACACCCGAGTTCATTCCTTCTGTATTGAGAGTGGTAATCCTCGAACTCCAGTTTTATTCAAATGTTTTGTGGAGTGTTGTTTGTTAAACTTTTATATTAGGTAAGGTACAACGTCATGCAAGTATTGTGCAAATTAGATTCCATTTTCAGGCATTATTGAGTCCCAAAACCATCATATAATACACATGTACATGCATCTCAATATACTTAAATTAAATGAGTGTACCTCAATTGTAACAACAACCTCTTTCCGTGTAAGAGAAAAGAATAGCGTCCACGGTACCAATATTGACAGATCTATAGCCATCAATACACCACACACTGCAAACAACTGAATATCTTTTATGACCTGAAGACGAAAGAGATTATGTTAACTACCTGACTAAAATTAAGTCCATTATACATACAGCGTCTTCAAACACTAGAATTAAAATTAAAATAAGGATCATTTTGGTTAATTCAAATGGAAATAAACATGATCTTAACTAAAGCAACAGACAGAGAATGCAAACTCATCTTATCATTGAAGCATACATACATTATCTAACCCCCATCATGTGTTACATTGAATTCAACTGAAATTGCCCTTATTGTCTAGTAAAAAGTAAAATAAAAAAAATGCCAAACAATATCAAACACATCAAACAAATGGAAATCAACTGTCATATTCGTGACTTGGTACAGGCATTTAATGATTAATGCAGTTTATAGAAAAAGTATACACACAGTTTTTGGTGGGGTTCGTGTTGCTTAGTCGTTAGTTTTCTATGTTGTGTCATCTGTACTATTATTTGTCTGTTTGTCTTTTTATTTTTGGCCATGGCGTTATCAGTTTGTTTTCGATCTATGAGTTTGAAAGTCCCTCTGGTATCATTCGTCCCTCTTTAATCATTTCACCTTTTTTTACAAAAGTTTTGATGACTTTCCTTGATATTTTGCTTGATAACCTTAAAACAAAATAAAAAGAATAAGTGTCATCTATGCTTAAAATGTTCAATAAACAAACCTTCTTCTTGATACTATTATTATGAAATAAGACATGAACCCTCCATGTCTTTGAGAACAATGCACCAAATGCTGAGGTAAATCCTACTGCTAAGAACCATGAGCTTAACTGAAAAATAATTAGTTAAGAATAATTCTGAAAAAACATTGAATTACATTTAAACAAATGTTTCCTTATCGTATATTTTTTCCGGTCTTTCATTAGTTAAACATATTTTCATCTTATACATTTAACAAGAATGTGTCCATAGTACATGGATGCCCCACTCGCACTATCGTTTTCTATGTTCAGTGGACCGTGAAATTGGGGTGAAAACTCTAATTTGGCATTAAAATGAGAAAGATCATATCATAAGGACCATGTGTACTAAGTTTCAAGTTGATTGGACTTCCACTTCAGCAAAAACTACATTGACCAAAAATTTAACCTGACTTGACCAAAAACTTTAACCTGAAGCGGGACGGACGGACGGACGAACGTACGGACGCACAGACCGAAAAACATACTGCCCCTAGGTGGTGCATAACAAACGAAAAACTTAAAGTAAAGACCACTTTAATGCCTAGCTCTTAGAAGATTTGTCGACGGAGCATGATTTTGACCGAAGTTTGCTAAATATCATTAGAATAAGAAGAATATATAATGCATTAACGACTTATAATCAAACCTCCGATGAACGTCAAAGCAAGTGATACAGAGGACCAGTTAATTATTTTGATTTTTGCATCGAACGCACTTTCTTATAGTCGTTTCAAGTAAACAGGGCTATCACGCTTCTGACCAACTATATCTTTATCTTTCTCAAATTTGAACCAAAAAATGTTTTCTACTAATTTCATTGCAACATTATATCAGGTTATATGTTCAAAAGATCAACTATTAAATACTCACGGGAACCAATTTGTCAATATAATGATAAAAAAGAGGTACTGGTATAAGAGAGAACTTAACTAGATGAAAACGACAGCTCATGTGTTAATTTAAAGTAAAGAGTTGGTACAGGCATTTCCTTATGTAGAAAATGGTGGATTTTTATTGGTTTTATAGCTAGCTAAACCTCTCTTTTGTATGACAATGGCATAAAATTCCATTATATTGGCAACAATGTTCAAAGATCAGTTACTATAAAATCCAACACTACGTACATTTTTTGAGTTAATGAACTTTGTTTAGGATTCACAATGGGACGTTAATGGGAACATATTATCTTCTTATTTTTATACATGAAATCAATATCTTAAATGGGTTTTGGTTGATCTATGAATCAACAATCACTTAAATGATCAGACAATATTATAGATCTAAGACTTTCACTACTACTACTATTGCTAATAATGATAACAAGGATCAAGATTAAAGCAATACAAACCGTCCCTTTGGTAGCTTTCAGTTTTGGTCTTTGTGTTTGTTGTGATTCAAAATTTCTCATTCGCTCAAGTTTTAGAGATAGACAAATTAATATAACCGATTGCTTACTAATTCGGTGATGTCGTCTTAGGGTTAAATCAGTTAATGAAAAATCCACTATTGCTTGATGCCTAATCAATTGATATTATTTATCAACTTATGTTATTGGAATAACACGACGGATGTCCTAGGTGGAGCAGAATGTGCATACCCTTTCCGGAGCACCTGAGATCATACCCGGCTTTTGAAGGGTTTCGTGTTGTTAATTTTGTGGTTTTTTATGTAGTGTTTTGTGGAATGTTGTTTGTCATTCTTTGTTTTTCGATTTTTTACATGGCGATGTCAGTTTCTCCTCGACTTATATTTTACACATGCAATAGCAAAGCGTCAGAAAAGACTTGTTTGAATATATATAACATCGAAATTTGGACATTCTTTTCAATTTCATACAAAACCAATGCATATTACTTTTGAATATAACATAGAACAGTATGACAATGGATATGGAAACTCTTTGCTGATATCGTCATCTTTCGGGATGAAAATGCTCATCCAAAACTGATAAAGCAAGTTTAGTTTAGCATGATTATTTGTCTATCAACACATTGATATCCCGTTATTCTCTTTAAAACCGTAAATGCTGCAGAAAGAGGCGTTAGACATTATTTTTTTGGTAAGGGTTCGTGTTGCTCAGTCCTTAGTTTTCTATGTTGTGTTGTGAACTGATTTTTGTCTTTTTGTCTTTTTCTTTTTTTGCCATGGCATTGTCAGTTTATTTTCGACTTATGAGTTTGAATGTCCCTTTTGTATATTTTGCTTCTCTTATACCAGAGGGACATTTAAAATTCACAAGTCGAAATAAAAACTGATAACGCCATGGTAAGACGACGAAAATACAAACAAGTAAACGAAACACTACAAAGAAAACCCAAAGACTTAGCAACACAAACCAAACCGAAGATTGGGGATGATCTAATGTGCTCCGAAAGAGTAAACAGATCATATTCCACTGTGTCTGTGCTGAAGATTGAACTTATATTTTCTCTAATTTCCTATTTCTCTACTAATTCATGTTGTGTTTAATAATCATATTTACCATACAGAGTGCTCCATTCTCAACCAGGTTAAGATATTCCGTCATAGATACATACACAGACATGAACATAATGATACCACCACATATGATTATGTTGTTAATTTTTGGACTCGACATCTTGATATGCCTATAACAAATTATTTTTATTCTTTAATATTGAAAATATTTCTAAAGCTATTTTGGTTGTATAATGATGATGCCAATATACTTGCTTTCTACTTGTTCCAAACATTTTGGCAAGGAAAGGATAACTTTTCAATTACAACAAATTGCTTAGTTTAACTGGGCATTTCATTTCTTAACATATATCAGCGATCGGAAATATATATTTCCTCTTAACGTACATGAACATATGCCAAGGCATCAATATTTATCAAACAGAAATGTTTGCAATAGCCAAATAGTCAACAGAACTTGTATTTAGAGTTTGGCATATTAAATAGACACCTGACTATTGTTTACGATTGTATGTCGACCTTTTAACATTCTTTAGTTGTATGTGTCTTTGAACTGCAGACAAATTTACATTTGCCCTTAACCTCCCTTTAATCATATTTTGATCGCAGAGTAATGTTTTTTATGTGTCCTTAATGTATGATTTATTTTCTAATGTATTTGTTTGTCAGGATCTTGATCAATCTGAGAAAACAATTGCTTAACATGTACAAAATATGAATAATATTGTTATATTTTTCCGCATACTAACTTCATGAAGTCGATAGTTTTTGACATTCGATTTAAATAATTAAACTGGTACCTGTTTTTTCTATAGAAAATGTTGAAAATAAGAAGTCCTATTGCACCAATTAATCCAAAGGATGTTAAAATTCCAAGGATGATAACCGCAGCTATGGAAGATGCGAGCAGTTCTGTTTGTGTTTTAGAGCCATCCTTCGGAATTTTATTACCTAGTGAATAATAATAGAATGCATGTACATTTCATAGAAGTATTGATCTACTATAATTACATTTTGAATTTCAAAATACCGTTTCATTTGTTGGGAAATGCTACATTGAAAAGGTGTATTCGAATTTATCGTAATACAAGACCTTCAGGGTTATTTCACGTTTGCTGTTGTCCCTTAGACACTTTATTATTTTCATAATTATATAAGAGTTTCAATTCAATTCCTCACTAGTCATAGAGACCAGTAGGTTTGAAATCACGTAACACGTGTAACACTTTATTCACTTCTTCTTTGCGCATGTAGCAGATGAAAAAAAAACCCAAAAAAAAAACATTAGTGTGACTTATAAAACAGAGAACACGAAGCCCTCTGCACCGATTGATGTATGATGAGACAGGCAGTGAACTATAGAATATAGTTTCAAAATTAAAACGAATAATTCAAAGGAAAATACTTAATGTATTCTCAAAGAAAGAACCCATTTATTAAAGATATTGTTTTATGAAATATAATTGATGCGGGTAAATTTCGTTGGGTGAATTTGATGTTCAGGAAACGTTCAAACAAATAACAAGAACTAAGTTTTCTACGCTCACACTTAGATAGACTTAACTGGAATTGGCAAAACTTGTTGTGTATTTTTGGTTTTAAAAGGTCTTCAACATCATAATTTACTTTGCCTTCAAATTATTTTAATTAGAGCGCCGAGGTGAGTCTTATGTAGAAGTATTAATTATAAGCCTGGTTTTTCTTTATTACAATCTATGGATATAATTTTAACCCAACTGTATTTGATCTATAGAATAGTTTTTTTTAGCTACTGGCTGATGGTTTCCATTGTTTAAGACATTAATCAGTCGCAACGGTGTGTGTACGCTTATGAAAACATTACACAATAACCTTCTGAAATGGAAAATATTTTAGAAATTTTCTTTTATTCGTGTAGTTCGCCTTAACGAAAAAAAAAAAAACAACGTTAAAACAATATGAAGTCGTATTCAAAGCCAGGTTAATCTATAGATTATGTTTTAGCGCTTTGAATATTAGCACCAAGAGATAAAATTACAGAATCCCATTTGATTCTTAACCTGTCTGCAATATAAATAATTGCTTCAAATACTTTAGGATTGAATCCTTACCTGACCATAACGACGATGGATTTATATCCCACGTGATACTTCCTATGTCTGGATCGAAACGACCAGCATCAGTTCTGTTGTCTCCTGTCAAATATAAAAACAAGCTGCTTTCTTTAAAAAAAGAAAAGCAATACGTGAACCCGACCCCGCTGCCTGGTCATCAAAAAATTGTTGCTGATTTTTTCTTTTTGCTTTTGTTTAAACACCTTTATTGAAAATATGTAATTTTGTGTAGATTCTTGCACAAGAAGTCAATTGAAAGCAATATTGGATTTTAGTTGTAAATAGAAAATTGTATACAGCTACCATTTGAAACTACCTTTTGCGGCCTGACTATTTTATTTATTACTTCGGAGTGTACATTATTTTTTCTCCGTGTTTTATGTACAAAGACCTAATTCTATTGCAATTCTCAATTTCTGCAAACCGGATGTCTAAAGCAAATTGCACAGACCAATCAAGATATAAAATTCAGCAATCAATTTGCTTAATAATCTGGATGCGTTTAGTTTATCTTTCATATCTTCATATTTTATTTCCTGGATGCTTTAAATTATTCTTATACTCATTGAAGTTGTCTGTACACGTGGAAGAAGTTGTATACAGAAATTGAAGTCCAATTTCCATGTGAAGTGTAACTCTGTGACAAAAATTATAAGAAGATTTCGTATTTTGTTCTTGAGAGTAACACACCAGCTTCATTAAGACCTCTTATATACTGACAATTATTTTGGTCCGATAAATCATTTCAAATCTTAAGGATTTTCTGAAGTAACTTAAATCAATTTAAAAATTCGACAGGAAAACATAGTTTTGAAAAATATCTTGTTTTTATAAGAGTTGTGAATACACGAACATGCACTCAAAAGAACCAATTTATATATAAAAAGTTTATAATTTTGGTAAAAATCAATAAACTCATCATTAACACGTGGTCAGGATTAAAGTTTTGTACGCCAGCCGCGCGTTTCGACTACAAAAGACTCACCAGTGACGCTCGAATAAAAAAAGTGAAAAAAAGGCCAAATATACAACAAGGTTTAGGAGCAATGAGGACCCAAAATTCCGAAAGCTTTTGCCAAAAACAGCTAGGGTAATTAATCTAAATATATATTCTGGATATATTCATTTGCGTCATCATGTATATTTATTCTAGGTTCAAATCTAATGTTAGTTGAATTCGGATGTCAAACTGCCTACCTCAAGTGGTTTGACTCCGGATTCATTGCCATTCAATCCGAAATTTGTGTCAACGCAAACCGATATTGTTGTCAAACCATATTTTAAATCCAATTTTGTTGTTTTGTGTGGAAGACTGGGTGTAATAATAATAGTATTATTATGTAAAAAAACGGCAAGACGTTTGTAGAGTAGCTTGACAACACAATGCATACAATATTCAAAAAAGCACAATCGTTGCAAAGATTAAGATGCTATAAAGTTGAACCATTAAAAAAAGAATTAAAATTTAATTAACTTACATTCCTAGCTGTTAATAAATCTTTTTTCGGAAATTTAAGATATACTATCAATAAACACAAACGTCAAGTATTTACTAATGGCAATTTTTTTTATCAAATCAATCTCTTGTTCAAGTCTTACTTTCTATGTTATTTCTATACCATATATAAGCAGAGACTTATAAAACCATACGTAAACGGTATAAAATTAGTAACGTATACGTAGTCATTAATATTATTGTAAAATATTAATTACGTTTTTTGTGAAATGCAAGGATTCAAAATTGTTAAGAATTGTAACCATGCTACTATTTTTTTTCATTCCCTACAGTTTAAACATTAGATGCTAATTTATTTGCATTCATTCCTGATAATTGGTACTCATATGTTGCATATGCTTTTTATAAATGTATTCACTCTTAAAACCCGCGGGATGATAATAATATAACATTATTAATTATATTATATTAATGCTAAATTTAGTTTCAGTTAAAACTTTAATAATTGGTCTGTTAGTATCTATTAACGAAAATAACTATTTTAGGTAGAATATCGTTTTGTTTAATTCTCTTTTTTTTCCGACCTAAGATAAATATTTGAACAGTAATATTGTTTTGTTCATTTTCTTCTTGCTTTCCGACATTTGCTCAGGCTACGATGGAATTACAGATATGTAAAGTAGTTTATTCTGGGACATAATTTAATGTCAGTATATTATTCCCATGTTTATTGTCACAATGCACAATAGCACGTTGTATTAAATACTACCAGAAGTCCAATACTCTAGTAATGGACTTCTGATACTACACAAACAACGTGTACAAGGACCGTCTCAAAACATAAATTATACAATTGCAATATCATTTTACTTCATATTTAATACTTTCAAAAAAAAACACATATGTTCTGTCAAAAGCAAATAGGTTGGAATATATAAATGGCTTTCTTACTGCAATCTATTATTTATTTTTTTCACTTTCCGATCTACAAATAACTTTAATTTGATTGTCGAAATATTAATACAATATCACGTGGTAACATATCAATAGAGGGACCGTATCAAAAACATAGATAACTACCTGTCTAAATGATCGATAATTTTCGAGACATTCCGAGAATCATCTTTCCGATGATATCGAATGGCCCATAGAAGCTTCCAAAACTCATCAATATATAGGCGTGAACCCCTTAGGGGGTTCAAACAACAGGATAATATGAAGACAAATATAATATACATATTTTAGAGAGAACAGTAGTTTACCGATGTTCAAATCTCACAAATTCATTTAGAAGATACAACGCAGGGTAAAACATAAAAACTAAGAGAAAAGCATCACCCGTCATGTGAATCCACACGCAGGCAAAATAATAAAATTGCTACAGGACACAATCAGTAAGTTTATGTATTGGACGATTTTTTGGGGGTATTTGAAGATCTCAGAAAACATGTCGGTAGTGATTTGAGACACAGACACATCGTATCCGTCAACAAATTGTACGGTGACCGTAAAACTTATGTATTGTCGAATTCACTCATTTTTGCTCTTATTCCTGTTTGAACACATATACGGATATTAGAGGCAACAGGAAGATACACATACAAAACTAAGAGAATCGCACGAACTCAAAAAAGGACCGGGTGCGTCCACAAGGTAAGCTTCTTATACATGTATTATCTGTCATTTAATTTCACATTGAGGCAAAATGATTCAATAGGCAATAGGACACATTCAGTTAGTTATAGATCAGACGGTCTTTCTCGTAACTTTAAATCTCCGACAACGAAAACGTGTCGGTATTGAGTTGAGACACAGACATATCTAATCGGTAAAAAAAATCTTATGGTGACGGAAACCTGTAGTGTCGATTTCAGTCGTTTTTCATCTTAACCCAGGTGGAGCAGTTTGTGTGTCCGGAGCACACTCCTGTCAATTAAATCAGTATAGTGTGAACATGCAAAACCGTGACGTATAAATTGAAATTAGTGTAAGCCATACGATGGAACAGAGGATATGCTACTGTTGAGAAATGTGAAGTTGACAATTGGAAAGTTGAACTCATCACGTTTGTCATAGATTCTCATTTGGAGTCGTTCGATCTGTGACAATATCGAGGAAAGTATCAACATTTGAAGCAGACTTTCTAGTTTGGGTTGTTTCCTTTATCAGTTCACTAGCATATATGAGATGCAAGCAATAAAAATAGATAAAAAAGAAAAACGACCAAAATACAAACATAAACGGTATATATACAAATCCGCTTAAAGATATTAATATCGGTATTATTTTTTCCTAATCTGAAATAATACCATTATCCGCCTTGATCAGCTTGCATTAGTGAAGTTTTATCCTATCTTGAAACAATCTCTGACAGGGTGAAATCGATGATTACAAAATAAGCAGTCACTGCAGCTGTTCCTTCGCTTAGCACGTGGTGGTTAGGGTTAAGGACTGATAGAGAGAGAAAAGAGTACATTACCTTTATTTAGTTGTATAAACGATTGTCCTATACGCCTTCCATCCTTGAAGGATACTGGTCCCTACAATACATGTCCTTGTTATTGTACGGGTGTTTCTTGAAATGGAATATATTCTAAATGACTGAACAACTAAACTCATTCGACCTATTGTTTATAGTTACTGTACCACAACAGCTGTATATACAGAATATCAAATAATGGAAAGTGCTCATATCAATAAATTTCCAGATAGTTTTTTTAACAGACTTTTTGAATTTTATTACAAAACTCCCCGTCATTAAACATAAAACAGCTTGATTAATATAATACTTCTATCCCAACCTTTCGAAATGTCAAACTTAAACAAAAACTTACAAACTTTAAGACATTTTAACAAGTGTTTTAAGTTTTATTTTATAATATCGTTATATAGTATGTCACAAAAATCAAGCGATCATCACAATATTGAATCAGAATATTCTAACAAAACATGAAACAAGTCACTAAATATTTCCGCTCTTCAGCAAGAAAAAAACTAAATATCCTTTGAAAAGAAATGCGTGGTTATCAAAGACAAACTGACAACGCCATGGCAAAAATCGAAAAAAGACGAAAAAACACACAACATTCTCCAAAACACAACATATAAATCTATAGACTGAGCAACAACAACCGGGGACTGATCTCATGTGCTCAGGAAGGGGAAGAAGAATAAGATAAATTTTGAAAAAATGCACTCCTTTAAATGTCGTCGGATTTAATGTTGAATTTTAAAGTACGTCAGAATGGAATACAATAAACATATGAGCTTTATGCTTCTGTATTATCAATAATATTAAAATGAAGTAATCTGGTACCTCATAATACACATACACAACTTAATCTGTAAATCACGACATTGGTATAAACATTCCATTCAGATAACTGGGCAATGCACTTTATTTTAGTTACCACGTAGCGTAAATATAATAAAATTAATGTTTTTATTGAAAATTCGCATATTATTCACCGTAGATTTACTAGTTACATATCATTCTTTGAATGTAGAGTTCAATCTATATTTACCCTTATTTTTCCAAAATTGAACATGAATATGTAACACATTCATACTTAATTACCTAGACACATCAAATTTCGCCTCAACCATGTTTGATTTTGTATTAAAACGTCAACTGTTTATGACTACTGATGTAATTTTGTTCGTTTTGATATGTTCGAAAGTTTTCGCTCGCCCTTTACCTTGAGACTTAAATATTTTTAGACAGAAATGATCTTTAGTCGTATAAAATTATCTTAAAAAATCTCAAACTCACTGATACTCCATCAAAACTAACTTCATCCATGCCTTTTATGATACTTTCTCTTATGTCAGACCTGTCATAGCTAAAATCTTCCAGTTTACTGCCGTTTAAATATTTCAGACTATTGTTGAGGCCTAGTGCTAAAGCCCAGACGGCATCATATATCCAGGGATGGGATCTTGTTAGACTGTACGCAGTATTAGATGCCTCACTTTTCATCCACGAATCATACTCCGCCGGTGTCTGTTGAAAAAAAAACTGATTATAATAATGCATTTTCATTCATGTTTGACACTTCAAATCATCATCAGCAGCAGCAGCAGCATTGTCGTCGTCATCATCATCATCATCATCATCATCATCGTCATCATCGTCATCATCATCATCATCATCATCATCATCATCATCATCATCATCATCATCATATTAGGTAAAACTATTTATGTACTTATATGGGAAATTGATTAAGGTAAATTTTGAAATTTTGAAATTTGTTCTTTTTAAAATCATTACTATTAGGTGATCATGTGTGTGATTACCATTGGAAATATCGTTATCGATACCTGAACGACAAATGTATATATTTCTACTGTAACTTTCAGATATGCATTAAAATTACCAGGAGTTCTTCTTTACGTAGTTCGAAAATAAACAGACGTTAAGGAATATACATCACTTTATTGAAACAACAACTGAACAAGCCACGTAAACCATAACAATATCATCTAAATCATGAGACAGTATAATAATAATAATATGTAGCTTACCCGACCGGAGAGAGTAACTGTGTTTTCTGAACTGAGTTGATTTTGGTCCAGTGTTATCATGTGATCGGCTGCTTCGTATAAGTTAGCTTTAGTACAGGGAAGATCTTTTACATCTGCATTTTTTATCCAGTTCCTGTACATTGAAGCACCAGTTAGTATCCAGGTGTATCGTTTTCCGTAGAGCTTTTGCTTATATACCTAAAAAGGAACAAGTAACATCAGTGCAATATGTTTGATACTTGTATTGTATAAATAAAATGATATAAAAGAAAAGAAAAAGCACAGAACTATAACATATTACACTTAAAAAGGGTGAAAATCAAATATAGCCGATCTCGGAGAACAGACTCCTAGGCACAACAAAGTCAGCGAAATCAGAAAACACTGGGGGAAGTTAAAAGTATCTGTATGTATACATTATGCATTGATTAAGAATTTCTAATATGATAGGCACGACAACTTTAATATAAAATTTATCTATATTACGTTTGAGTTTAGTCGATCGAAGGTAATCACAATAAAACGCGGGAGAAATATATTTGCAATAAAAAAGATAAGTGGAATGCTTGATTGCTCGTGACCTTTATAAACTAATTAGTTTGCTTTTCACGAAGTCTCTATTATATGGTTTGTTAACTTATGTCCCATAACGCTTGCTAAAAAGGATTATTTGAAACAAAGCTAAATATATAATCAATTTGATGATCATAAAAGAGAGCATTTTATGCCGACATTCTTACTAGTTTATTCTTTTCATGTTAATATAAAAAAAAACCCAAACAAACGGGAAAGTTATTTGTATAATAAAAGTATCAAAAAAAAAAAAATTGTAATAAGAATGACATATAAAAAAAAATAATTGCAATAAAAATGACATAAAGACAAATGAAAAAATACAACAATGAAAAAACATAAATAATTGGTATTTGTTTGAATGTTCCATGGTTTGAAAGAAAAAAACATTTCATTCAGAAATCAAATGATCGCCAGATGTATAATTGCCTAACCCAAATAGCTTTTTTAATACTTACCATACAACTAACTTTCTAATTTGGAGAGAAATCATTAATTTGTAAAACAATTTCAACTCAGAATTCATTACAAGATCGGCAATATTTTTCTTATATCAATTTTGTTTGTTCTTATATGCCCAATGAACAAGCCATCCTACCTCACAGAAAATAATTCTCGCAGCTGAGCTTCGGAAGGCACCAACAATTACTCTGGAATCATATTGCTGTAAAATATTTAGAAAGCTTGTTAGCGTGTGGTTTTAATAAAACTTTGAAAAATATGAAGCTGGTTTCTTGTTATCATAATGTTAAAGACATTATTGAACCAATGCATGCATATATACTAAACTGAGTTCTTTTTGCACGTTTTTTTTTGAAACATTTTTTATGAATCTATAACGTATAATCGATACATAATATGTTGCTCATTGATTGTTGATCCTGATCGCAAGCTAAGTAACTTCCGAGTTTGTTGCCGAAGTTTACCGGATCGTGACATTGATAAACAATCAACACAGAATCATGGCGTACGTGCAAAAAAAAGTGAATTGATAGAGCAATGTTATTTTGTTTTCATATTTTCCATGCCTTCCCATTTGTTAATTAAACTTTTCCAAAACGGTTGGTAATGATTTGGTGTATTTCATTTATTCTTTAAGAATTAATTAATTTTATTACCTTTCGGTGCACGTGTTTACATTCGTTCATCACGAGTTTTTCCTCACACTTGCTCTGTGCGGTGGCCGAAGTTCTAAAGAGGGGTTTCGTAGTTAAGCTCACTGCATAGTGATACGAAGTTATACCGCCGAATTAGAGTATGAGAAAAAAATAGTTCATTTACAGTACCTTTTTGTAAGTTTAGGATTTTACTTTACAAAACAGTTCCCGTACACTTGTTTTATAGTAAAACTTAGCCATTCAAGTATATAAAACATATTCATCTTCTTTTTGTTAAATTTGAAGCATCATATGACATTAATAATGAGAATCACCTAATAATAATAATAATAATAATAATAATAACAACAACAACAATAATAATAATAACTAAGCATTTTGAAGCAAACAGGAAAAACAAATATTTAAAAAAAAAATACGTTGACGAAAGAATTTGAAAATGTACCATACTGGTTCAGTACCAGTTACCGTCAATAATTCTTTGTTTTTTTCGGATATATTGTTACTGGGACTCTCTTTGAAAATATTTTTTAACATCAAAAGGGTTACCAAAAGTTATATCAAATACCACATACACGGACTTTAAATCATCTTGTAAACAATGAAAAGCGGTTTGCAAGTGTGCCATTTTTGTGGAGAAATTTTATGGTTACGAGGACCAGTTACCGTCACTTATTATCTGACCATTTAGTGAGGATCGTAATGGGGGGTACCTTCATGACAAATAACGGTAAACAATCTTGCCAAATGAAGTTAACGGTAATTTATGGTGCATGACGATAAAATGTACATGTCCTTTATGACGATAAAAAAATCGACTGATTTTGACAAAACACGTTAAATTCTTTCCAAAAATAACGGTAACGGATAATCATTTGAGACCCCTGACGAATCACGCTAAGGATATTTTGACGAATCACGATAAAATTTTAACCAATTTGACGCTAACGGTAGGCAAAAATGACTGTTTGACGCCTGACATTACTGGGCATTCCTACCCTCTTTAATCATAGTTAATATGAATATTAATGTCGTATCTGCCATTTGATATTTAGAAGAGAAGTAGATTCGTTAAATAAACCAAAAATGTAGTCATTGCGTCCAAAAATTCTTAACCTTTTCTTCCATTGGCTAAATCTGATCTGACCATGAATTGTGTCACTTGAGACAAACACAGTACACTGTATTGAAAGGGAGCATAGAATATGATTTTTAAAGTACCGGTATTAAACTTGTTTTGATTTAAATTAAAGAAATTTGTATTCTAAAGCAAGCTTTGATATATAATTTGTTTAAAAACGGCAAGTTTTCCAAAATCGAGGACGACAAAAAGTGATGACGTCATGTCCCCGCACGCGTTTCTTCCCACGACGTGTTACAAAAACAAAACACTCGACATGTCATTGTCTTAATGATAATAGCAGTATGCTGAATGTTCGCAATGCTTCCATTACATAAAATGCATGGTGACGGTAACTAGTAACTGACGCTTACAGGTCCTCGGCCAGTAGAAACAAATCAACATGATTATTTTTTAGACATAACGAAAACAACCTCCAACAGCACTTGAATACTATTTCTTTTTTTATTTCACCAAATAACATTTCTTCATTAATTTATTTATTAGTTTCCTTGATCTTTTATCAACTAATGACGAAAGGAATTGTGATGTTTTCAGCAATGAATGAATCTCCGAATAGCTCCGAACCGACATGTACGTCTAATAACGAAAGGAATCGTGATGTTTTCAAAAATGAATGAATCTCCGGATATTTCAGAACCAAAATGTACGTCTAACGCATACGACTCTAACCGTTTGCATTTATTTTAATACAGCATCTGCCTAAAACAAGAATTAACATGCAAATGTGAAATAAGAGTTTGAGGGATTATTTCTGAGATTTTTCAGACAGGATTACATTAAGACATGTATAGTTTCATTGTTGAGGACAGTGTAGTTACAGCACCTTGCGGAAAATGTGGTGATAGAATATAAACTGATTGAAAATAGTATATTATGTAGAAACTGGTGGATAAACACTGGTTATGATGATAACAATCACATGTGAGAACAAGGTTATGAGGATAACAATCATATGTGAGAACAAGGTAATGATGATAACACTCATATGTGAGAACAAGGTTATGAGGATAACACTCATATGTGAGAACAAGGTTATGATGATAACAATCATATGTGAGAACAAGGTAATGATGATAACACTCATATGTGAGAACAAGGTTATGATGATAACAATCACATGTGAGAACAAGTTTATGATGATAACACTCATATGTGAGAACAAGGTTATGAGGATAACAATCATATGTGAGAACAAGGTAATGATGATAACAATCATATGTGAGAACAAGGTAATGATGATAACAATCACATGTGAGAACAAGGTAATGATGATAACAATCATATGTGAGAACAAGGTAATGATGATAACACTCATATGTGAGAACAAGGTAACGATGATAACAATCACATGTGAGAAAGGTTATGATGATAACACTCATATGTGAGAACAAGGTTATGATGATAACAATCACATGTGAGAACAAGGTAATGAGGATAACAATCACATGTGAGAACAAGGTAATGAGGATAACAATCACATGTGAGAACAAGGTTATGAGGATAACAATCACATGTGAGAACAAGGTAATGAGGATAACAATCACATGTGAGAACAAGGTAATGAGGATAACAATCACATGTGAGAACAAGGTAATGAGGATAACAATCATATGTGAGAACAAGGTTATGAGGATAACACTCACATGTGAGAACAAGGTTATGAGGATAACAATCACATGTGAGAACAAGGTTATGAGGATAACAATCACGCTGTAATTAAAATTTTCTGACACCAAAAGCATCATTTTGGTATGTGTAAGCAACGGTTGTAGCCTCCTCTAACGCTGGCGGCGGTTTAGGGACTAGCATTAACCTTTGATGACGTAGGTAGATCGACAAAGCCCTTGCCTACTACTGCGTTTTCATCTTCCCTCTTGTTATTGGATATATTAGCGACGATCTGACATCGTTTCATTTAGCTTTTATTAACACTTTAGGTTAAATTTGCTAAACACAACCTGGTTAAATTCTTCCTGGCTATCCTCGTCCAAATTAAAAAAAAAAATTTTCCCTATACTCCTTAGTATAAATGAGACAAAACTCTAATATAGATTTCGTTGCTCGCAGTAACTTGTTCTTTTCTCTTGCAAAGAACGTTTAATAACATGATAGTATGGCAATATAAATCATTATATGATCTTGTGTTTGTGGTTTAATTTTCAAAACCTGAACGTTTTGCTGATAAATGATAACACTTCTATGCAAATATTATAACTGACCAACCGTGAGTCTGGTGATGTGATTTTCTACATAGTACTAACCCTCCTTGAGCCTGGTGATATGATTTAATACATATCAATGAATAACCTTGAGCCTTGTGATATTATTTTTTACATATTACTGACCCACCTTGAGCCAGGTGATTAGATTTTCTACAAATAAATGACCAACCTTTGGCCTGCTGATATGATTTTCTACATATTACTGACGCACCTTGAGCCTGGTGATATGATTTTCTACATATTGCTGACCCACCTTGAGCCTGGTGATATCATTTTCTACATATCAATGACCCACCTTGAGCCTGTTGATATGATTTTCTACATATTACTGACCCACCTTGAGCCTGGTGGTATGATTTTCTACGTATCAGTGACCAACCTTGAGCCTGGTGATATGATTTTCTACATATTACTGACCCACCTTGAGCCTGGTTATATGATTTTCTACATATCAATGACCCACCTTGAGCCTGGTGATATCATTTTCTACATATCAGTGACCAACCGTGAGCCCGGTGATATGATTTGTTACATGTTAATGACCCACCATGAGTCTGGTGATATGGTTTTCTACATATTACTGACCCACCATGAGCTTGGTGATATGATTTTCTTCATATCACTGACCCACTTTGATCTAGGTGATATCATTTTCTACATATCAGTGACCAACCTTGAGCCTGGTGATATGATTTTCTACATATTACTGACCCACCTCGAGTCTGGTGATATGATTTTCTACATATTACTGACCCACCTTGAGCCTGGTGATATCATTTTCTACATATCACTGACCCACCATGAGCCTGGTGATATGATTTTCTACATATCAATGACCAACCGTGAGCCTGGTGATATGATTTTCTACATATAACTGACCCACCTTGAGCCTGATGATATGATTTTCTACATATTACTGACCAACGTTGAGTCTGGTGATATGATTTTCTACATATTACTGACCATCCTTGAGCCTAGTGATATGATTTTCTTCATAGTACTGACCAACCTTGAGCCTGGTGATATGATTTTATACATATCACTGACCAAGCTTGAAGCTGGTGATATGATTTTCTACATATCACTGACCCATCTTGAACCTGGTGAGATGATTTTCTACATATTACTGACCCACCTTGAGCGTGGTGATATGATTTTCTACATATTACTGACCAACGTTGAGTCTGGTGATATGATTTTCTATATGTTACTGACCAACCTTAAGCCTGGTGATATGATTTTCTACATATTACTGACCATCCTTGAGCCTGGTGATATGATTTTCTTCATAGTACTGACCAACCTTGAGCCTGGTGATATGATTTTCTACATATGACTGACCAACCCTGAGCCTGGTGATATGATTTTCTACATATCACTGACCGATCTTGAGCCTGGTGAGATGATTTTCCACATATTACTGACCCACCTTGAGCCTGCTGATATGATTTTCTACATAGTACTGACCATCCTTGAGCCTGGTGATATGATTTTCTACATAGTACTGACCAACCTTTGGCCTGGTGATATGATTTTCTACATAGTACTGACCCACTTTGAGCCTTGTGATATTATTTTTTACATATTACTGACCCACCTTGAGCCTTGTGATATGATTTTCTACGTTCCTGAGGTCTGTGATGATCCCAGATGTAATAAGTGTCATATTATTGTCTATTAAGGCCTGGTGAAACTCGTCGATTTGCTACAATTGTAAACAACAGAAATTTAATGCAGGTGGGTGGGTAAACGGCATTCGACAAAAATAAATGTATTTTTTGCCGAGTGAAATCGTCAAGAGATATTTCAATCGCTACATTCTGTGCTTTTGTTGTTAAAATTAAGTACAATTATCCCACTCTTTCCTAGAACCCCAACTTGATAGCTTATTATATCACCTGCGATAATAGTTTACAGTAAAAACTCATATTGGCCGTAAGGTTTAATTATCATTCGATTCGGGAATTATCCCAAGCGTGAAAAAGTTTACGTATTGAAATTTCAAAAAAGTAATGAATAACATTGTTTATAATATTAAAACATTTCCAATAGTTCAATGACTTCTTGCAGAGGACAAAGTCTTTGGACCTCAAATGATGAACGCAATGTTTTGGTGGAAAGACATAGAAAAGATATAATTAACTTTATTAATATTTTTGTTCTTAAACACAGTGTTTCTACTTACAGGCATTCATTATAATAATCACATACAAAATGAATGACATAATGTCGTCTTTGGTGTAGATAGTATTAAGATGATAATAATCTAAAGAAAAGCCATCGATATAAGAGTGTAGTATGGAATAGTTTTAAATCAACTGGTTTAGTATTTAGTTCTTGCCATATATATTTGCTTCTTTGACACTGTTTTGTGACCTTTTATTTGTCGGTTGGTATTTGTATCACTCGGTTGCTGTCTCATTGACGTATACCACTCATCTCCTTTTGTTTACGGTGTTGTCTTAACCATTTTGCTGTCTATTATTCACGGCCGTATAATGACCTCTAGATTTCTTCTGGTTATATGGCTAGTTGGTTTGCTGTTTAATTGATATATACATTCCATCTACAATACATCAGTTTAAAGACAAGGAGATGGGTTATAACTGCCAATTGTAGACAACTATCCACCAAACATGATTTACCCTAGCCTGAAACACCTTCCGGATCTTGTTAAAGTATTGGTTTAGTTTCGTGAACAAGAACAAGAACATTTTATATTCTACTTTTTCAAGTCAGAAATGTTCAATAGACTAAGGTTTATGTGGATAAATAATTCAATCTCTTAGTAATTAACGTTGCAGTTTGTCATTTATCAGATTTTTAAAACCAGAACATTGAGCTATGCAGTGGTTATAGGTGACTTTTGCTGAACACTTGTTCTCGTTCTGGTTAGTCTTTTGTCTGAATTGATGAATAATGAGGTTCTGTTAATTATCTATCTCGTACATGGATATAAAGACCCAAAGTAAGAGAAAAAATGTAAACAACACATTATAAATTTCATGCGTCCGAAGCGCTTTTATTGATTTACCTTCATCAGGAAAGCTCAAAGCTAAACATTTGAAAGCCAAGGATGTATAAGAACCGAAACAATTAAAGAGCTTTATGATCAAAAAGGACTTTAAAAAATAGCCAAAGCCGTCTAAGGTCAACTTTGCCTGAGGGAGTTGAAACTTTAGTTTCTTATAATTTCTTAATATATTATCGGACAATTTTAGAATGATTTGTTATAAATCATGTCAGTACCGAAGTAGTAAATACTGAGCTGATGATACCCTTAGTATAGACCCAGTGATGTAAAAAATGAAATACGTTATAAATTTCATACGTAAGTGGATACTTACTGATGTAAATGTATCATCATTATACGCCAAGGTTGCCACCCTGTTCCATCCAAAATATTTCATTAAAGCTATACGTAATGGATTTAGGTCATCTTCTATGTAATTGGTGGAATATAAGGTTGGATATACAGATCTGTCTTTCGTGGTAGATGTTTTTGCTACGAAATTCATCTAAATACATAAACATTGTAAAGACCATGAAAAGTTTATCAATAAAAACACTTACATTTAATGTAAAATACAAAATATATCGACACAATTTTTTTTTAATAACTTACAAATTCTATTCAAATCAACAATGTGCTATCTGACTAATTTTGTCATATTACGAGTATAGTACTGGGTTAAGGCTGCTCACAAACGTGATTCTGGAAGACACTGAATCACATTCCCTATAGTTAAATTGACACCTCTTAGTAACAATTTTGTTTGGATTCACAATCGCTCGAAATTAAAGATTTGTCAAGCTAAATACGAACGGCCAAACAGTTGTTCTGAAGTCAGACATACATGCAGAAATCGTGCGTACTTATCTAATTGTAAAAATAGTCATTGTACTAAAATAAATTAATAATCGGTTTCCAAAATAAATAGGGTAAACTGTGTTTGAATGTCATACTTTCAGTACTGAAATCTTCATAATGCAAATATAATTTCTTACTGAGACACTACTCCCGCGCTTCAACACTTATAGCTTATGTTTAATGATCTATCTTTGTGTACCACATTTGTATGTTCATTCGTAGACAAAGTTTACTGACAAAGACCAATCAATCATGTATCAGACTTAACGGAAACACTAAAATATAATTGTTATGAGTTATTGAACACTTAATTGCATTATCTTTGTTTACCTTTTACCAGTAAAAATATCAAAGAAATACATTATATATGTTCAAATACTTGTCCTGCTATCTCTTATAGCAATAAAGATTACAGCCATCACTTAACACAAAGATTACAGCCATCGCTTAACACTTGTAATGCATGGACTGACAATGTTTAATCAATACTTATCATCCTGTCTGAAGGTAACGAATGTTTTATTGTAAATCTAGAGCCATACCGGTACTAACAATAATGTATAACATGTCAGTATTTAACATGTTGTAATTACGCAACAGTGAAATTCGTACATAACGATAGATTTCTGTTTGTTTAATTACAAATCATATCACGAAATGACATTTTTCAATTTCAAAGATATTAAAAATTCATTGAATCATATTGATTTCGGAATAAAAATGAACAGTTATCTTTAAATGAAAATGTATTTAGTCTCTGAAACTGTTTTGTTAACGGAATTTAAGATTCTATATAATGTTATTTATTTAATACGTCACCGAGGATAATTCTATGATCATGATGATTAGTTATTAAATATTAATTTATTTTAATGGATTGATACAAATAAGATTTAACTGCCAATAAGCTGCTATACGAAAAAAATGCATATGGTACATTTGTATTAACTGAAACTTTAAAAATTTTTTTTAGTTAAATTTAGTTTGATGCATAAGGCAATAGTTGATTGGCTAAATATCTGTCTATTATAAGGCAAAAGTTGATTGGTTGAATATCTGTCTATTATAAGGCAATATTTGATTGGTTAAATATCTGTCTATTATAAGGCAAAAGTAGATTGGTTGAATATCTGTCTATTATAAGGCAATATTTGATTGGTTAAATATCTGTCTATTATAAGGCAATAGTTGATTGGTTAAATATCTGTCCATTCATCTTTTTGTCTAAGCAGCAAGTAGCATATTTGTTACAGCGAAATGTTGAGACATCGACGAAGTTTGTTTAACCGCAGGTCGTACACGATGCATACATATAACAATCCATAACAAATGTGTGTACACTTGACCTGCAGATAGAATTTAAAGCTAAATATTTTTCAATATAAAAAAAAAATAAAAAATCACTGATTAAATAATCTTCGCTGTTTCAATACATTTATCTAGCCTTTACTTTGCAGATAGACATATTTCCTTTATTTTAGAATTGAATGCTTTATTTTATAATTTTATTAAGGTTTAAATGCGTTGACAGAAGCACATTTTTTATGAAGCATGGAAGCGCTTCTAATTAAAATATGCAAACAATCAACGCTTTTACAACCCTATAAAATTATAAAAGGCATATTCAATTCTTAAAATTAAATTTTTAGGCTACAACCATGAAATTATAGTATTAAGCTTTTCGTTTGTTTTTCTGTGCATGGTTTTAAAATTGTCACGGATAGATGATGAACCATATCGGTGCAGTCATAGCTGTTGTATTTTATATGGTAATAGAATTTGACATGGGAGTGCCTCGTGATTGTCAAGATTACGGATTCTTATGAAACATTCATATAATGTTAGTATCACACTAATATTTACTTCAACTATTTTGTAGAGTGATTGGAAGGCTCTAGCCAGAAACATTCTCTCTTTTATCGGAATTATTTTGTAGAATTTTATGTTAGCTGCCGCCGGTCTATTAGATAAAAAAAAACCCTCTCGGTTAATAAATTAAGAAATAACGTAGAAACTAAGGTTCCAACTACATCAGGCAAAATTGACCTTTGATGAAATTTATAAAGTGTTATTTTCATACTAGCAATGGGTATATACCACTGCAGAAGGAATGTTTGTAGCACTGGGTCTATACCACTGCAGATGGAATGTGTGTAGCATTGGATATATACCACTGCAGATGAAATGTTTGACTCTGGGGGTATCATCAACTTACTAGTAAGTGCTTCGATTTTAACAAAGTTTACAGGTTAATTTTTAAAATTACCCAATAATAAATTAAGGAATTTTTAATTCACTCAGGCAAAGTTGACTGTTGATGAATTGTGTAATTCTTTCCAGGGTGATCTCTTTTGGTCATATATACATGTATCTCCTAACGTTGTTGTGTATTTTTACATCACTGATGACTATAAGATATTTGAGATTGAGCGTTCCTGATGAAGATAAATCCAGAAAACCGCTTCGGATGCACGAATTTTTTTATGAAATGTTTTTATCATTTACCTGAATTATATTGTAGAATATAATGAAAGTTGCCGCCAGTCAGTTTTACCTAAATCACTTAGTATAATATCATGATAGTTGTAACCAGTCTTATTTACCTGAATTATATTGTAGAATGGTGTGATAGCTCCCGCAAGTTTCACTTCGTCAGACATCTGAGGTCCAAACACTGCTATTTTTGTCGGAGACGCAGACAATACTTCATTTAAGACTTTCCCTGCCAAACCTTCTTTACCCTAGGACATAAACAAATGTGTTAATGTCTTTCTTATTATTACTATTGTCATTTATATTATTATTCTGTCCTTCTTAATATGTATAATTCTAGTTATGTTTTACTTATTTCACCGTTTTTCATGTAATTATTTTATGTATGAATATATGTGCATGCGTACTATACTGTATGCGTTTTGCTCATTGTTGAGTACACAGTGCTCTATCGTTGTTTTACATCCTCGTCGTGTGTCTCAGGTGTATCGTTGTCTCATTGACAATCATACTACATCTCTTTATTGTTTTAGTGTCTAGGTTGCTTCAACTTGAAATTATTTATTGTCATCATGTGCAAAGGACATTGTCAGTAATATGATAATTCTACGATTCTGAAAAATCAATAATTATTTTAGACATATGTACTTCCCTTTCCTGGATTAAGAAAAATACATTTGATCTCGCTTCTATTTATTGAAATTTGATTATTATGTGAATGCAATCATTTAGTTTACACGATAATTAAACCTCTATCTTGATAACTACAGGGATTTACACGACCGATATCAACGTTCTCGACCGCTCTATCTAAATAACTACAGGGATTTACACGACCGATATCAATGTTCTCGACCGCTCTATCTTAATAACTACAGGGATTTACACGACCGATATCAATGTTCTCGACCGCTCTATCTTGATAACTACAGGGATTTACACGACCGATATCAATGTTCTCGACCGCTCTATCATGATAACTACAGGGATTTACACGACCGATATCAATGTTCTCGACCGCTCTATCTTGATAACTACAGGGATTTACACGACCGATATCAATGTTCTCGACCGCTCTATCTTGATAACTACAGGGATTTACACGACCGATATCAATGTTCTCGACCGCTGCAGATTGATAACTACAGGGATTTACACGACCGATGTCAATGTTCTCGACAGCTCTATCATGATAACAACAGGGATTTACACGACCGATATCAATGTTCTTGACCGCTCTATCTTAATAACTACAGGGATTTACACGACCGATATCAATGTTCTCGACTGCTCTATCATGATAACTACAGGGATTCACACGACCGATATCAATGTTCTCGACAGCTCTATCATGATAACTACAGGGATTTACACGACCGATATCAATGTTCTCGACTGCTCTATCATGATATTTACAGGGATTTACACGACCGATATCAATGTTCTCGACCGCTCTATCTTGATAACTCCAGGGATTTACACCACCAATATCAATGTTCTCGACCACTGCATCTTGATAACTACATCAATTTACACGGCCGATATCAATGTTCTCGACCACTGCAGATTGATAAATACAGGGATTTACACGACCGATAGCAAAGTTCTCGACCGCTCTATTTTGATAACTACAGGGATTTACACGACCGAAAGCAATGTTCTCGGCCGCTGCAGATTGATAACTAGAGGGATTTAAACGACCGATATCAATGTTCTCGACAGCTCTATCATGATAACTACAGCGATTTACACGACCGATATCAATGTTCTCGACTGCTCTATCATGATAACTACAGGGATTTACACGACCGATATCAATGTTCTCGACCGCTGCAGATTGATAAGTACAGGGATTTGCACGACCGATATCAATGTTCTCGACCGCTCTATCTTGATAACTACAGGGATTTACACGACCGATATCAATGTTCTCGACCGCTCTATCATGATAACTACAGGGATGTACACGACCGATATCAATGTTCTTGACCGCTCTATCATGATAACTACAGGGATTTACACGACCGATATAAATGTTCTCGACCGCTCTATCATGATTACTACAGGGATTTACACGACCGATATCAATGTTCTCGACCGCTCTATCTTGATAACTACAGGGATTTACACGACCGATATCAATGTTCTCGACCGCTCTATCATGATAACTACAGGGATTTACACGACCGATATCAATGTTCTTGACCGCTCTATCATGATAACTACAGCGATTTACACGACCGATATCAATGTTCCCGACCGCTGCAGATTGATAACTACAGGGATTTACACAAGGAGCTTTATAATGGGCTATCGTAAAAATAAAAGGAGATTTCATGTATAAGTCAAAGCGATAGCACATGACGACTCAACAAATTACTGAACTGTTCTGTACATGTATTCCACAAGCATAATAATTATGCAATAGGCCAAAATACAGTAAAGATGTTTTGCCAATGACACAAATATCGATAAAAACTAATGAACAAAAGATCAGCAACGAATCGCGACGAATTAAAACAAGAAGTGATTACATTAAGCAGATATTATCGGAAATCGACCTCAACTCCAAATTCCCTTAATACATTGGCATTTCGTAGGGCTGCAATTAACGAAGTTTTTGACATGGGACAGGTCCATACACAGGCGTAAGCAGTAGGTTGTGTTAAGTGTTTTTGGCATTCAACCCCCCCCCCCCCCCCCCCCCCCACCCCCCTGTAATCTCGATCAGTTGAATAGTAATAAAAAAAGAACATAGAAGAAGTTGTAATGTACAGGCAATTATTGTAAGCTAGAATATGGTGCGATTTTGAATATTAAGAAAGAAACGTGAAAAAACATTTCCATACATTTTGATGCTTTTGCCATATCATATGATAGTATTACTCATTTGAAAAATATTGACATTTATCTCCAATAATAATGAGAATATTTCATGTCGCAATCTGCATCGTGAATCTTTCAAATGAATAAAATATTTAAATTTGAGATCACGCCGGTTTTTGGTGGGGTTCGTTTTACTCAGTCTTTAGTTTTCTATGTTGTGTTTTGTAGCCTGTTGTTAGTCTTTTAATCGTTTTTATTATTTGGCATGGCTTTGTCAGTTAGACTTATGAGTTTGAATATCCCTTTTTGGTATCTTCCGCCTCTCTTCTTTTTAAATTTTGTTTATAACTACATATACAGATATATGTGAAGGGGTAAAAAGTAAAACAGCAAACATATCGAACTCCAAATTTGACAAATACTAGTTTCAATAACCTATTTGTCGATTTTCGTGAATTGATATTCCAACAAACTGTTTGTATTCCAATAGGATATAATTGTGACACCAACTGGCCGTCTTTTGTTTACAATATGAAGCAGAATTTGTACAAAACCGTCCCCAAGACGAAATGTAAAAAAATGTTGCCAAGTTCTTTAATTTCACGTTCAGACAACCCATATATTGATAATGCTCTTTCAGCGAATGTTTGCATCTTTTGTACCGCATTGACCTTCACATTAAGAATACTATTGAACGTTTACTGTATGATCATATCCGAATCTTTTTCTTGATATTTATAGATAGATAGACGAATTCGAACATCAATAAAAAACGTCTATTGTCGGATATCGTGCGTAATTTAAACCTCTGTTGACATTTAAAAACCCGTACCTGGAAATTAATATACATTAGGTACGACGATGTAGGTTTGAAATGCTGAGAAACGAGACACATCAAATATATCAGAAGTGTTTTATTGAAATCAGATTTTATGTATAAATATTTGATTTGATCTTTGACAGAACTTTTGTGTAGGCTTATTGAAATGATTTTTTTGCGTTTACACACTTGTGCTGAATAAGCGTTAGAAGATATGTACATCTATTATTTAAACATACAAACGACGAAAATGTGCCACTCGAGCAAACCCTTCCTATGAAACGTTTTGAAAAATGTTTCTATATGTGGTCCGCTTATTTTTAACATACATAGGTCAATGAAATCATTGACATGATTCTCATATTTCGTTAAATACCCAAGGGTATCCCGGGGTATACAAAATTTCAATGGTACTATGTCTAATGAGTACAACTCCACCCGAAAGGAGTATTTAATTGGCTATAGGCGGTATTCAAAAATGCAGTCACGCCTGACTGCGATGGTAACATAAAAAATGGTAGGATATACCAAATATCACGAGTCGAATAAAAGCAGACAACACCACTGCAGTAAAGAAAAGAGTCAAAATGATAAGGAACAGTCCACTTATCAATATACAGTAAACGAAAGATTGGGTAACACTAACCTCACCAAAATCAAGGAGAACTAAAATGCTCCGTACGGGTATGCAGTTCCTAATCCTCTAGTTACATCCGTTGCGTTACTCATTCCAAGTTAAAATTCGATGATAAGTTGCATTTTGTGATATCACGATAGAGAAGAGGACAGAATTGAAAAAAACAATTCAGAAAACATTGTCATTAAAGTTTGAATTGTAAGAACGGAAGACTTGCTATTTTCTGTTAAAACGTATAATCAAGTTAAAAACTTTTACATCACCATTCGATGATTCCATCAGTTGATATGTTATGTAAGTTCATACACGTTTAGGCTGTTGGATTTTCAAGTTTTATATGATCTTGTCCTGCGATGCGCATTTCGTCAATTAATGTCCCTTCAGAGATGCTGTATATAACCATTCTATAATACTTCATGGGCAGGACTGATTGAATTTGCCTCGAAGGTTTTGATACAACAAAAGACAAAAATTGTGATATATATTTGCTAATGATACTCTAGCGAATAAAAGAAAATAATTTTACATGAAATGGATGTATTATGTAGAGCCATCAAGATTAAACGATCAAATAAACAATGATTTTACTAAAATGATACTTGTTTTACAGCTGAAAAAGGGATTAATAAGAATCGAAGGAAACCAACATTTAGAAATGAAAACCACAGAAAAGTATTGAAAAAGAAAAATTCTAAAATGTTTTTTTAAATGGATAAATAAGTTAAGATATGTTGATCCTGATAATTTTTGTATACACATAGTACGTTATTCATTTTCATACGTGTACATTAAGGCGCAGTAGTTTACCGATGTTAATCGTTAATCAATTATTAAGAGACAAATCAAAGAACCAAACAAAAACTGAGGGAATCGCATGAAACCCAAAAGGAGACCGGATTTGGCTACAGGGTAAAAGAGAGGCAAAAGATACCAAAGGGACATTCAAACTTACAAGTCGGAAATAA